TGAGCGGAGAATTGGAGGAAATTCTCGAGAAGTTGGAAAAAGCTAATAATGAAATAAAACCGTTAGAGACTGAAAATTCCATATTGAAAAAAAGTCAAACAACCAAACCACTTACTGAAAATAGTCCAGTAAATGTACAGTTACTAGAAAAAGTCAAGGAGATGCACAATTACTTCTTTAATAGTAAGATAATAGTCACTTCAAGCATTATATATTCACATTATCAATTGTATTATTCTATCGACAATGTTGATTATGTTTTCTATCTTCAGATAATAGAGAACAACTACAAATAACTACGAACTTAAAGGAAAACAAAACACCTGTGACTTTATTTGAAACACAGGGTTTAAAAACTTACCTAGGTAATAATGAGTGGATTAACTCCACTACTTTATCTGAAATTATGCGAGAAAAAGAAGCTAGTGGAGTATGCACAAAAAGCTGCTATTCACTATGGGAACTAAAAGATTTGGCTTATCGAATGGTAAAACTAATCAATAGAAAGGAAGAGAAGCTCTCAAAAGAACGAAAGAAGAAGCTTGCAAAATTGAAAGAGCTAACACCTTCTAAGAAGAATGCTGCTCTGAACATTTATGAAAAATGGTTGAAGAATAGAGAAATACTTTCTGCTGTAATTATAGATTACATGGAAAGCAAGAAAACGAACAAATTATTCAACGGCTACATAACTGCTGCCAAGAAAAGACTCGGTTACTCAAAGGACAAATCTTCTGATGATTTAAAAATAAAAAAAAGGAAATTATCTTCTCCCGAAAATTTGAAAAAAATATATATATATAAATAAAAGATCTACAAAGCTCGAAAAATTTACAAGTGATAGTGAGGCAAGTAATAATGGAACAAGTGATAATGGGCTTGACTCACATGATGAAGCCAATAAGTAACTTTTAATAAAATATAAGTTTTATGTAAGTTTTTTTTTTATAAATGAGCACTGTTAAATATTTATGTCTCATGCAACAAAAATTCAAAATAGTTTCAAGAATGTAGTAATTTTTAAAAATGTCAAAGTTAGTCATACTTTATCAATTATTTTACAGCTTATTATTGAACGAAAGGGTCTGAATACATTAGAAATAATGAATTACGATGAATATTATTACCACTAATCTAATTAAAACTTCAAAATTTAGTTTTTTTAAATTATCTTAGTGATGCTTGATACATATATACTGTAACGAAGTTACGCCCCTAAAAGTAGATAAAATAGGGAAATATCTTAGCAATCGGGTCGATAAACTATCGAACTAGTTTATCGATTAAATTAAAGATCGTTATTCTCCGAGTAGGTTCGCCTTTAGGAACAAAAGGTAAATAAAGACCGAGATAGGAATGTATAAACAATAGAAAGAGAAGGTATTTGTGATGATTTTAGTCTCCATGGCAACTCCCCACGCGACCAGCTAAATGGGCGGAGCCAAACAGTATAAAAGAGCTGGATTTTGCGGAGATCGACACTTCACTTGTCTCCAAGGTACTAGACTGACGAGACCAACGAGAGTTGTAGCTCTAGCTAAGAGGTTGTAGCCTTTTAGTTCCCCCAGAGAGTTATAGCTTTCCGAAAGTAGAACTTGGAGGGTTGTAGCCTTCCGGCCAAGAGTTGGTGCTCTTGGTATTAGATAGCAATCGAGAGTTGAAGCTCACGATTTTGACCGTGTAGGAGTTGTAGCTCCTCGCTGACGAGTTGTAGCTCATCAGTTACTTATGCAAGGATGAAGCCTTCCCTCGGAGAGTTGTTAGCTCTTAGAGTATTCCAGGACGAGTTGTAGCTCGTCTACACGTAGTAAGGCCCGGTAAGATTAGAAGGTGAAGAGTTGTAGCTCACACCAGTGTCCCTAGAAGAGTTGTAGCTCTTCGTCGACGAGTTGGAGCTCGTCGATTACCTAGGTAAGGTTGTAGCCTTCCCTCTAAGAGTTGTTAGCTCTCGAGTATCCTGGTTTGGGTTGTAGCCCGACAATCTAGGGGCTAGGTTAAGGGGTAGACACTTTTGGGTGGGAATCATTCTTTAAATACCAGCATTATTATCATTGTATTGTCGTATCGCCACCGTTGAGCCACGCGTATATTTAAGGATCTAGTTAGATTATTTTGTTCTATTGGCATATTGTAAAACCAAATTGTTGGTGAGGAAGAGTAAAATTAATGTACGTCACCGTGTATGACATACACGTAGCTTTGTTGTGGTTTATTTTTGTATTTTTGGTTTACTATTGGTTTATAACGTTATTCAGTCGATTATTGTTAACTATAATTGTTATTAGTTGGAATTAATAAATTTTGCTTTCATTGATTTTAAATATTTAAAAGAGAATTCACTTTGTAACAATCCCGCAAAGAATCCTGGTCCATAAAATTCAGATAATTTTTAAATTGAGGCGAGAATTTTCTTGAGGTTTCGCCTTGAGAAAATTTAGTCGTTACAATTGGCGCTCGAACATAGGACTTGAAAGCTTTGAATAGGCGAATAAGCTATAGGCTTTAGAGTTTAAAAAAAAAAAGAATTAGAAATGGAAGCCGGTTCTTCAAGAATTAATATCTGGAGGTTAGGAGAGCCGCAAGTTAGAGCTGAGTTAGAAGCTCGTGGAATTGAGATTCCATTTAAAGCCCCGATAGCACAACTAAGACAAATGTTGTGTGACACCATCATAGATGATCGGAGTAGGGGAAATATAGAAGACAATTTCGACATTGAACCGACGAGTAGGGATACAAGTGAAGGTCGGCACACCGTCAGAGAAAATAGCAGAGACAGATTAGCGGAACCTAACATACCGACGGCAATCTATAATATCGACGATATACCCGGGTTAAGAGAGTTATTGACTCAACAATTGAGGGAGCACATATCAAGAGCACAATCTATAGCTCCCTCTGGTCATTCTACGCCGCGATCAAGTAGATGGCGAGATACAGAACCAAAAGAGGAAAGGAATCTCAAGATAAAAGAGCAAGTCCGTAAATGGAACTATCGAAAGAGTGGAGGAATTGTCAGTAAGCTACGGTATAGCAGACAAGTATCTCGTACAGTGCATCCCGATATTGTTTAAGGACAAAGCGTCGTTATGGTATCGAAATAATCAAAAGAATTGGAATAATTGGGAAGATTTTACAAAAAATCTTAAGGACTTTTATTTACCAGTAAGGCATAGGACTCAATTAAGTTTATAGATACAACGTAGAGTACAAAAACCGGGTGAAAAAGCGTGTGACTTTATCACAGCATTACAAACATTGATACGGAGACAAGGGACTCTTACTGAGGACGAACAGATAGAAAGAATACATGAGAAGTTACGACCTGAGTATCGACGATACGTACGTAGATGCAATATTAAGACAGTAACGGACATTATTAATATAGCTGGTGAGTTTACTTAACAGCGTTCAGATAATAAGTATGCCAAAAATTATTATAAAATTTTATAAAGTTATTTTTATAAAAAGTACTATAAATGTTACAAAGTTTATTGTTCGATGCGTTAAAAATCATAAGTGTAACGGAAGTATTATGTGACCAAAATAAGCGAAAGTTGTGCAAAAAAATAAATCTAATTAAAGATTTTTTAAATGCTGTATTCTTCATATAAATAAAAAGAAAATTATTTTTCATCTCTTTGTTTTACCGTTTATCATCTACAAGATTGTTCTACGATTGTACAACAATTCGATTAAAATTACAGTGACCAGACAAAGAGTAGATTGACTTTGTTGTAAAAAGTTGTAGGAAATCGAAGTGACTAAATGAAGAGGAGATTAACTTCGTTGCAGAAAGTTGTAGAGAATTGTAGTGCCTATAGCATAGAATGTTGTAATATCTCTTAACATAACGTAGTTTGAACCCGTATAGTATTTACAACTTTTTACAACTATACACGAAATTCTAAAATACTGTCCTAATCCGCGTACTTGATTGTAGATATTTGTTGAAATAAACACAGTGAAGATAGGGTTAAGTAGTAGAAAGTTGTTAAATGTCGTAGCAATATATTGTAGAGAATTGTAGTTCGTTGTAGATATATTTCCACTAGGGTACAAATCTGGCAAAAAAGTGAATATTTTTTTTGGCATCGATTTTGATGTTATTTTAAAAATTGCAAAGACACGTATCTCGTAAATTTTTATGCTCTTCCGATTGCAGTTAGTTTTATAAATATGTAAATAGATGTATTTTTCATTATTTTTTATGTTGTTTTTAACGTATACGGTCGTTTTGGAAAATTTCTACTAGAAATATGTGAAAATGAAAAATCACCTTTATAGGATGCCAACTTTGTGGATGATTTTCATTCCTTCAAAACGTTTTTCCGCCGAAACAAAACACATGGTTCATTATTTTCGACGGAGATTATTGTATAGAAGGTCAGCTATATCGATGGTGACCACCTCACGAGGTTTCCTTGTTAGATCTATTTTTTGGCACAATTAGGCACTTTAGATCTTCTGCGATTCTTGTAGAGGTATTATATTTTCTTTATTATCGATATCAATGGGGATCTCTTCAAACACACAGTAGTTTGTGTAGATATACAGTGATCTCACTAGATATACATGGATTAAATTTTTTTTCAGTTTTTCAAATATAAGTCGATCAAACTAGATAAAAAAATTGCGGAAATGTAGACCTGTATAGATTTATTTTATTTCCCCCCGGGATGTACAATCCTGCATTTTTATCACTGTAACGAATCAAGAGGTTCTAATATTGAGGTCATAGAGATTGTCCACTCACTTAAGTAAAATGCAACGAAAGACTGCTGAAATTATAGATCATTTATTTCTTACAATTAATATTAACCCGAGCATATTTTTAATAAATTCATTTTACAGACATTTTCGAACAAAATTTGAACTAACATGTGCTAAAAAGAAGTGGAAACAGCTTTTTTAGACCAAAACTAGGTTTTTTATAATATATATAAAGTACGTAATATAAAACTGTTCTTTTCGGAAATTAATATATTCAAAAGTTGTAATTGTTACATTAACAGCTGTTTGAAATAATTCTAAATAAATAATTAATTATACATCTCTAAGAATATTACTTAACACACTATTCAATTCAATTCTTACCTTATTCGATCTTAATGTAACTTTTCCACCGCAACGAGCACAACATCGGATTTTACAGTAGTTGCAAGTGTGACCAATACCATCTGCAAATTTGGTTTTCATGCATATATCGCAAGTTGCATCTAATTCAATGCCGGCTTTCTTGTGCTTCTCCGACCGTGCGCGTATTGTCTCTTCCAAAATCTGTACTTCATCCTGTTTTTTCCTGTGAACATTATTGAAAATCGTTTGCAATTATTATTGCCAGAATTCCTAATCAAAATAGTAAATTAAATCTAATCAGAAAATGAGGGCATTTCGACTGAGTTTATGTAGATAAAATCACAAAAAGTAACTTCTCATTAACGTCAGCATGAATATTTGAGGTCCTTTTAAAAATACATATTTAATGAATGCAGTAAGCAGGACCTAACCGTTTCTCACCTTCCTGGAATGTGAATTTTAATAATTTGTTACTGTTACTTCAAAAAAATACTTGGTACTGAGATATTGAACATATTTCTAACTTTCCATTAGACAGTTATTGTAATTTGGTCGATATTTAAAATTGGTCATTTCGTCATATCTTTAAAACATTTGAAAGCATATTAGAAGGCTAAAAAATGAATGTATAAGCGCATGTTAGGTTTTTTCGTTTCCTCGACTTTTGATTAGTGATCACTGAATTTATTTTCGTTTTTAAAACATCCAAAGTTTTCCTATGAACATTGCATAAATCACCTAAATAGTATCACTCTATTTGAACCTTTAATATTTCTTTAAAATAAAATAATAAATGAATTATTATCTGTTAGCGACTTACCATATTTTTTATAATTTCCGATTTTGCTATATTTCATTTCTTCTAATTTAGTTTTTGTCTCCATAAATCGTGTATTACTCTCACTACTAGAGTTCATCGACATACAAATACAAGTAATATGACTTGTTATTGCAAGGATCATCCATCTCATATCTTTTCACTATTCTATTAAGTGACTGAGGAAATAGTCAGCTAAAAAACGATACCTAGCACTACCTTAAGGTTATTATGGAAGGTTGCGTCAATAATTACTGACCAACTCATTCTCAATCAATGATAGGATCAATAGTTGATCAAAATTCAAAATTATAGATGAGGGCGTAATTAAGATTTTTGCCCTACTCCTAATCAAGAAGCCATGGATGAACGATTGATTACGAGCATCTTGACACCGCGGTGGCTGCTCTTATTAAAATGACATCACTAGGCGTGCACCTGTCAAAGTGGAAGGACGTTATACTTTTGAGTTTTCTAAATTCTTTTTATTTCTAAGCCGTTGGTAGCTAGCAGAAAGCTAGAAAGAAGAGTACTTCGTGAGCAAACCTTTAACCGTTAGTGGTAGAGCAAAAGCCTTTCATCTTTAGCAGTCATTGCTAGGAATAAAAACAATCCCAACTATCGAGTATACTAATCACACTTCGGGAGGGAGAAAGTCAGGCACGAATGCAAACCTCCTAAGATAACTATAGAAGGAAATAAAATAAGTACTCAGAGGTAGTCAGGTACCTGGGAGTCTGGTTCGGCAGAGACCTTTATATATCAACTCATATTTATAAACGACAGGCGGCGATCGGTGATTTCAATAGACGATACACACTTCGGACCGACGGAGTGGTAACTTATAACAATGTTAGAATCTCTTTAAATGACACGTCAGAAAAATCATCGACGCCGTTGATGAACCTCAAGTTACAGACACTCAAGATACGGCAGGCAGAATGGAATGCGTTCGAAACGGGTCGCAAAACATATAATTTCTTCTCAAGTATAGCGAATAAACTCGATAATCTTTGGATTAAATTAAATAACTTGCCGTAATTGTAACAAGAAAGAAAATGACACAGTTAAACACTTTTTGTTACACTGTCCTGCACATAGAGACTGACGTAAAGATCTCATATCGGTCATACGTCCCGAAACAAACGTTGACCTCAGCCAAACATGGCCTGAAATAGTGCCGAAATTTTTACAAACAAAAGAAACATGTAGAGCACTCGAACGAGTTGTCAATACGTGTGCGGAAGAGAAATTGTTCAAGTAAGTTAGGTGAATCCGCGAAGGAGTTAGAAGACAGCGAAAGATAGCAAGAGCGATAAACACAAAAGCAAACAGACAGACTTTCTCACCCCGTAGAAGTCATAGATTAATGCAATCAACATTGTAAAACTATAACTCATGAACTTCATTGATCCACACCTAGGTACTGTCGAAGCACCTAGGCGTAGGCTGCAGACGTTCAATCTTCGTAGAACATCTGTAGTCTGCGGATCAAGCGAATAAGATCATTACTTTACCTTTTTTTTTTCATTTTTATCTTATTTTAACTCAAACTTTTACGTCTTCCAGGAAACTCATGAATACTTCTAACTATATATTCTTTCAGCTGTTAATAATATTATAGTGTTTTCTCCCACACCATATATACTTGTCTGGAGCCATAAACCAAGGCTCATACAACTGGTACTACGGAAGACCGAAATCTAAGCCACGCTGGTGATTGCAAAGCCGAAAACAATATGTAGAACTAGGTGCTTTCGGTCAATTAAGGTTAGACTCGTAGTAGTACGTTGTGAGGACTCAAGCTAGTTTCGTGTATCCCCGTGCCTGTTTTAAAGCGTAGGTATACGCGTCTCGGGAATTGCCATCGCAAGAAGTACAATTATTTCCAGAGTTATGCTCTATAAGGCAAGATAATCAATGGTATGCCTGGTAATTCTGCCCTTATTATAGCGAGCCGGAGGCTAAGAGCCACCATCATTACTACCTACACAATATGTCCACAAATCGAGGCTTTGCCTTGATGTAGAGTCCTTGACCTATCTCCTTTCTCTTTTTGTTTGTGTTTATGGCGAAACCTCTCTACGGGTCGATGCAGGGTCTTGTCCCTCTTGTCACAATTACACACAAAGACATGCAGGTGTGTGCATGTGTGGGAAAGAATGTAATTTTAATCTTTTCAGATAACACAACAACAACAATGATAATAATAATAATAATAATAATAATAATAATAATAATAAATTCTGGCCGGGGGTGCTTCTCTCGCTACGGTAATGGAATAAGTCCGTACAGCCAGTTTTTCCTCCTCACAGGTGATAGCCTTCTGGGCGTGAGGAACGAAACTATCCATCTTGGTTTCGTTAAACATCACCACCTTTGCAGTGGGCTGTCTACCCCTGCAAAGGACTTTAACAGGTTACTAAAAATATACCTGCAACGGCCCCCCACAACCGGCCCTCTTTGGATGAGGGCCATAGAACAGTTGGGAGGGGCCTTACGATACGTTTCACTTCGAACGACCATGGACCACCTTTATAGCGTCTTAGGTTGACAGAGGAGCTAAGACAGGATTTGATGCAGTGTTGGGAAAGATGCGAGCCACAGACCTCAGGCTATGCCAGGTGCCTGCATACTCTGTGGTGCGAAATGCACCCAGAGCTACAAAATCTAACGCAGGCGTCGCTCGAAGAGTTTCAACGAGTCAGCATTAATGAGATCAGGAATGCTCTAAGGGGCACAAAGAACTGAGCTGCCCCTGGGCCAGATGCAATCACCACCTTCTGATGGAAGAAACTGACATCATCTCACTAGCATCTGGCTCATATCTTCTTAGAATATCTAGGAGGAGATACGCCCATTCCTGGATGGCTCGTTGAAGGGCGTACTGTGCTGATCCCCAAAAGTGGTGATCTGTCTTACCCCAAAAACTACAGGCCTATTGCATGTCTAAATACTCTCTACAAATTGTTTACGAAGATTTTGAACGAGAGGATTTTGACTGCAATAGAATCTGTATGGAGACAGATAAACGAACAACGTGGCAGCAAGCGTGGCTTGATAGGTTGCAAGGAGAACTTGCTAGTAGACCGATGCGTCACAATGGACGCATGTTACTACAAGCGCAACTTGTCAATGGCCTGGGTGGATTACAGAAAGGCATTTGATACAACATCACACGAGCTTCTCCTCTACTTGCTCGAATGCCTTTCAGTACCCCCACAAATAATGAGATGCATCGAACATTTAATGCGACTCTGGAGGGCACGTTTCACCGTACCATCTGGTGAAACGAAAGTGTCTACCAGAGCAGTGCCATTTAGGAGAGCAGCATACCAGGGAGATACCCTGAGTCCTCTTCTATTTTGCATCTCACTGCTGCCATTATCTGTCACTCTACGCCGAACGCCTGGATATAAAGCCGGACGAGTCTCCAGCTGCGTACACAAAGTCACACATTTATTCTGTATGGATGACTTGAAAGTGTACGCGGCAAGTCCTGAGAGACTCCGAGCAGCCTTAGAGGTTGTGTCTGAGTATAACAGCGCAATCGGCATGAAGTTTAGGTTAGACAAGTGCGCAGAGGCCAACTTAGTAAAAGGAAGATCGCCGAACTGGAGTGATAATGTCGAGCTTACAGACGGGAGCATCATAAAACATCTGGATGCTGGAAGGTCATACCGATATCTTGGACAGGCACAATCTCCTTTACAAGACGTGTCTGTCATCAAAGATACTCTCCGCAGTGAGTACAAGAGGCAACGTAAGAGAATATGGGGTTCTGAATTATCAGGCCCTCACAAAGTCACAGCCACGAATATGCTCGCTGTTTCAGTCTTGCTATACTCATTCGGAGTTCTTAGATGGCTCCGAAAAGAGCTCAAACATTATCACAAGGAAAGTGATGACATTACATCGAAGTCATCACCTACTTTCTCCGTGATCTGGAAGGGCGTGTACTGCTAAGTTTGGATGTCTGCATGACAGTTTAGTGATAGGCCTGGCTTATGACACCTATAAAAGCTCTGATCCTCTTCTCAAGTTCGTAAATAGCTTTGAACTATTGGGAAGGGATGCGTTCCTATATAAAGTAGCATATCAGGCAGCGCAGAACTTCAGCTCAGTTTTCGACCCTAGCAGCCCAGACGGTCTAATGCTTTTGCAATTGACCAGAGGGCAGCGAAAGGTCGATATAAAAACAACCGAGCAGTTAAAACTGCTCGACGAACATGTCGAGGTGATTTTATGCACGAGCAACTCGAGAACACAAGATGCCGAGTTTGCCACGGTGATGTAGATGAGACGCTATTTCATGTGTTTTCGGCTTGTCCGATATTAGCGCTTAGCCTACAGCGGCGTCCTGACTTCAAGTAGTCAAACACACGGACGTATCGTATGGACCAAAATATTGCAAAGAACGCCAACTTTAGCGTAACAGATAAACTTTGTCTTCTTTAAATAAACCTTTATCTTAACATTAACTGCTACGCAGTTAGAGAATTTGGCTTAGCCCTTGTCGCCGCAAAAACCCATAAACAGAAAAAGTTTCAATCGGCTATTGTCGGAGTTAATCCTTTCCTTAGAATGCTCTCTATCGATGAACTTGGTAATACACACTGCACGTGTGCTCTCATCGAAGGGCTTGGTTATTCATTTTATGCAATTTCACATTACTTCCAATATAAAGATCCAATTAAAATTCACACGAAACACAATTATTAATCAAAGACAAAGTACATTAAATGTGTGTGTTTTGGTTACTTGTTGCTCTAATACATTTTATTATCCATTATTATATTTATTATACTCTATTATATATATTATCTACCGTCTAACGTTGAATTATCCACGTCATTTGTGCTTTGTGATATCTGCAGCATCATTTCTGTAATATTCAGTATTAATTAATTTTGAATGTACTTATCAACGTTAGAGTTCTTTATTTATTATTTATGATGCCGTTGTCTTTTGTGCCATCTCAAAAAAGTAAACAATTACTGCTCCATGAGGGAGATTTGTATCCCAAAAAAACAATTAATAAAAGTTTTATAACATGGCGTTGTACGTCTAATGTGCATTGCAGTGTTTTAATCCATACGGATACAGATTCAAAAACTGGTATTTATTGAATTTGTTATTTTTTTTCCAATTCAT